ATTTTAGTCAACAGGGGATTGCTTTTCTGAATAGAACAATCTTCTCCAACCTAGGGCAAGTCAGACATGTTGGACTTAATCAGCTTAGGACGAGAGTTGAAGCATAACAAAGGTTTGTAAAAGCTACATCAGCATTGCTCAACCTAGGCAATTTCCAGATGTATGGACTTCAGCTCCCAGAAATATAAACAATGGCCATGCTAGTTGGGGAATTATGGGAACTGAATCCCTTGCATCTTGCAGGTTGCCCATTTGGAACTCACTGGAATCTACCGCTTCCAGGGGAATACTTTTCTTCTTTATTTGCAGGAAACAAAAACCTGATAGAATCTCGACACTTACCATTTAATGCTTCAAACCAAAATACTGTGTTTGTCACTGAATTTAAATCCTAGACTGGGAGACAGGGATAACAAAGAATAGAGATTATCCTATTGTTCCATTACAAACCTGAGAGATACTGTACATTAAATGAGATATGTGTAATTATCCCAAGGCTAATAAGAAAATGAGACTGATGACAGCATTTGGAACTTAGTGTCCTTGAGTGTCATACTCATTCACTAGTACAGTGTGCCTCAGTCTCAGCAACTTTAAGGTGCGGCTTCAATTCCCAAAATGCTGGATGGGGAATTCTGGGAGTTGAAGTCCACCTAGTTCAGTGGTTCTCAAACTTTTTAATGCCGCGACCCCAACCAGTCGTAAGTCGAGGACTACCCAACTGGTTGGAAGTCAAGGACTACCCAACCGGTCGTAAGTCGAGGACTTTCCCTGCCCGGGAGCGCCGCGCATGCGTGGTGCTGCCCCCTGCGCCGGTTGAGGTGTAGCTGGCAAGGGGCAGCGACGGCACAGGGCGACCACCGGCTGGGCCACCAGCTGGCCCAGCCCAAGGGAGGTAAGGCACCCACCGGGCCCCACGCGTGCCAGCAACCCTCCCTGCGCCCGCTGGTCTCCCACCTCCCACCCCTGGCCCTCTTTTACTTACATTTTTAGTAGTTGCTCAGCAGGGAGGGATGGAAACTTCCAGACAGTTCGCCTTCGCTGCAGACAACTTGCAGCACCATTTGCAGAATGGGACTTTTGGTGGGCTCAGCAGGGCAGAGACAGCCTGGACAATTCCTATTGGCTTTTGAAAGCCAATAGAATTAGACTCTATTCAAGAAAGTCTATTCTATTGGCTTTCAAAAGCCAATAGAATAAAAGGGAGTAGCACAGCTAAGGAAAAGAGGAAAAAAATGGTGGACTGCGTTGTTTGGCGACCCCCGTGAAATGGTCGTTCGACCCCAAATGGGGTCCCGACCCACAGGTTGAGAACCACTGACTTAGTTTAAACTTGATGAGGTTAAGGAACATTAATGCACTCTTTTTCTGCCCTCCCAAACCAGGAGGATCTGTAGCTAGCAAATCGCAATCCGACGACTGCAGGACACCACAACTGGTCACAATTGGAAGCCAGTTGCCAAGTGCACATGACTGTGGAATCACATGACTGTGGAGGATATTTGACAGTTGTGTCAGTACAGGTCATAATTGACTTTTTCCAAGGTCATGATAACTTTGAACCACTGTTAAACAAACGGTTATAAGTTGAGGACCACCTGCATAGTGAGAAGGGGGTTCTTTGCTATTGTTATGTTAATGAAAATTACAACATCTTGCCATACAGCAAAAAAAGGTCATTTATCTTACCATCTTAAGGATGAGGATCTAATAGTGAAGGGATAATGGAATGTGTACTGTTGCAGGTAGTTCTCTTACAATCGTATGAAGTGACCACAGCACTGAAAAAAAAGTGACTTATAACCATTTTTCACACTTACGACCATTGCAGCATCCCCATGGTCACGTGATCAAAATTTGAATGCTTAGCAACTTGCTCATATTTATGACGGTTGCAATGTCCTGGGGTCTTGCAATCACCTTTTGCAACTTTCTGATTGGCAAAGTCAATGGGGAGGCCAGATTGACTTAACAACCACGTTACTAATTTAACAACGGCAGTGATTCACTTAACAACTGCAAAAAGGGTTGTAAAATGGGGGGAAACTCACTTAAACAATTGTCTCACTCAGCAACAGAAATTTTGGGCTCAATTGTGTTTGTACGTCAAGGACTAGTTATATACATCTACACAGAGTTCTCGGACTCCCTCAAGCAGGGGTCCCTGTGCCCCTTTTCTCTACATAACTGGAGAAGGGGGTCTTGCTCCAGTGGTGGGATCCAACAACTTCCAAAGTCCTTTCTGGGCCTGGGCAACAAAAAATTAGCTACCGGTTCTGTCAAAGTGGTGCGAACCGGCTGAATCCCACCACTGTCTTGCTCTGAAGGCTTCCACCCACACTTTCATTTTTGCTGGGTTTCATTCAGAAGAAAGTGAAACAACTTTCTGCTTTTCTTCCTTTTCTTCTCTGTAGTGCAGTGGTTCTCAACCTTTTTATACAGCGACCCCGGTCATAAGGACGTGCCGGGCATGCACGTCGTGCATGCGCAGTGCCGCCCCCATGCACGCTGCAGTGCGCATGCGTGGCGCCGCCCATGTGCGGCGTGATGTGTATGCGCGTCACCACCCCTATGCGCGGCGGCACCCCCTGAGGGAAAAAATGGCAGGTCGCGTTGTTTGGCGACCCCCGTAAAATGGTCGTTCGACCCCAAATGGGGTCGCGACCCACAGGTTGAGAAACCCTGCTGTAGTGTCAGAGCTGTAAGGCACGTTAGATTACTTCCCCATCAGAATGAGCCTACCGTTTTCAAAAAAGATACGAGCCACTTAGTATGCAGATTAAGATTAAAGAACCAGTTTAGTAATAAAAACACAATGGGAAAGAAAAATAAAGGAAGTCAATGATTTCTACCAGTAGCACACTCTACCCATACATATATGGGTCAAATACAGCAGTGCACATGAAGAACAGCCTAGTACAGTGGTGGCGAAGCTATGGCACGGGTGCCAGAGGTGGCACTCAGAGCCCTCTCTGTAGGCATGCGCGCCGTCGCCCCAGTCCTAGGCTTTCAGCTTGGTTTTATAAAACATTTTTGCTTTAGGCCTCCGCCGCTGTGTGCAAAAAAAAAAAAAAAGGTTCAATCAGTCAATTTCAACTTCTCACGGGAAAAAAAAAGATCTTGCAAAGTTGGGATTGACTGAACTTTTTAGTCCCACCCAGTCTGCCATTACCACTGCAGCCACACCCACCCAATGGGCCATGCCCACCCATTGGGCCATGCCCACCCATTGGGCCACACCCACCCAATGGGCCACACCCGCCCGGCACCCGACAATGCATAAGTGGGTTTTGGGTTGCAGTTTGGGCACTCAGTCTCTAAAAGGTTTGCCATCACTGGCCTAGTATCTAGTTCTGGATTTCCATAGGTCTTTCTTATGCTTTTGTTCTCTAAGGACCTCTTCCCACTTTTAAAAATTATGGAGGACCTCTAAAGAATTATTTTTTGTTGATAATTATTGTATTAAAAATTAAAACAGATGCATTCGCTGCCACGACCACTTCTCATAATCATTTGATGAGATTTTAATATTTTATTGTTTTTCAGCATAGACTGGGAAATAATTTTGATTTTGTGGACCTTTGAGAGGGTCTTGGGGGAACTCCTGGGTCCTCAGTCACACTTTATGAAATGCTGTCCTAGATAACTTAATTTCTTCTGATTTGCCAATCCTTTTTCATGATGGTCCTTCCCTGGCAGAAGCTATGATGGATGATCAAGAACAGCAAAATCCATCCTGCTTGTTTCAAGGACACTGGTGGGATTAGAGAAAAGGACCCTCCCCAGAAGCATAGCACATCAGAGCCAGATTTTCTTTTTAATTAATTAGTTTTTAATTATTGTTATATTTTATTTTAATTTATTTTTTAATTTTGGTTGGATGATGTTTATCCCAAGCACGTTTAAACTCAGTTACTGAGGATTGACCTTTGCTGGAAGTTGGTTCCAAGCTTCCACTTTCTTTTTAACATTACATATTTGAACCTCGCTCCTGTCAGTTTGAGGCAACATCCCCATGTTCTTGATGTAGTAAGCCTGACCTGTTTAATTTTGGGAGACTGGCAGCCTGGAGTGTGGGTAGCTGCTGATAACTGGCTGGGCCACTTGTGAATTGCAGTTTAAAAAAAAATGCTGCCCCAAACACTGATAAGACCAGAAGTTTAGGGAATGGTCCAGATGTGTAGAGACAGGAGGAACATCTCTGGCCAAGCATCCATCTTGCAGAAATCTCCTTGGGGTGCAATACAACTTCATGGACACTTTGTAAAGCTTTCTGAGCAACAAAAGGAAAGAGGGTTGCATCGTATTCTTCCATCTTTCCAGTTGGGGCACTTGTCCCCTGTCCCACAACACCCCTAACCCAGAGGTCCGTGCAATTCCAATCTTGCAAGAGTTTTGCACATCCTGATCGTGAGATCAGTCAGGCTGTTTCTGGTATGTGTGGGTTTTATTTTGTTTTATTTAGCTAGTTAGCAACTGATGGGGGATTTTAACCCTACAGTTGCTCTGTAACTGCAGCTAATCCTCGACTTACAACAGTTCATTTAGTGACTGTTACATCACTGAAAAAAGTGACTTATGATCATTTTTCACACAACCCTTGCAGCATTCCCATGGTCACGTGATCAAAATTCAGACTGTTGGCAACTATCTCACATTTATGACGGTTGCAGTGTCCTGGGATCATGTGATCCCCTTTTGTGACCTTCTGACAAGCAAAATCAATGGATAAACCAGATTCATTTAACAACCGTGTTACTAACAACTGCAGTGATTCACTTTAACAAAATGTGGCAAGAAAGGTCATAAAATGGGGCAAACCTCACTGAACAAATGTCTCGGTTAGCAACATAAACTCTGGGCTCAATTGTGGTTCGTAAGTCGAGGACTACTTGTATTTTTTCCTTCTCTCCCCCCCCCCCCCTTTTTCCCATTGAACTAGGCCAACCGCCCCCAGTCCTGGGCCAACTGGCCGGCTTCCCCAGCTGATTAAAAGCCTCGGTGCAAGCAACACTTCCCGGCCTGCCTGCCCGCCGCCGGGGTCTTCCGTTCGAACAGCCAGGAGGCGTTTCTGAGGTGGGGGCCCAGCCAGAGTCGGGTGGCCGCAGGCGGCGGGAATGGGCGACCCAGCCTCGCCGTCCTTCCTTCCCTCCCCGCCGACAGGCTCAACGCGACCCCCGTGCGCCGCCGGGCTGAGGGCCTGGGGCGGACCAAGTCCTCACGAAAGAGGGCCCAGCCCGGCAGCCGGGGCCGCTCGAGGTCCGCCGGCAGGGCCGGCCCGGCGAGCGCGGCCTGGGCGCAGTGCGCATGAGCGGCGGAAGGCAGGGCCCGCGAGGAGGAGCCCCGGGAGCCGCTGCCGCTGCCGCCGCCGCCGCCAACACCAACCTCGGTCCGCCTCCTCCTGCTCCTCCTCAGAGTCCTCCTGAGCCGGCCCGGCGGGGAGCGAGGCCCGCGCGCAGCCCCACCATGGTGAGAGCCCGCCCGCTGAGGGGGAACCGCCGCCGCCATCGCCTGGCAACGCGCGGCCTAGCCGGCGGCGGGAGGGCGCGACCCCACAGGCCTCGCAGGGGGCCCAAACCCGCGGCCGGGAGGGCAGGCCCGGTGGGAAACGGGGACCTCCGGCGGTGGGGAGATGGGCCATCGCTTGGCTGAGGGCGAAAGGGCCGCCCTTCTTTCCGGCGCCCGGCTCTGGCCGCCGGGGTCGTGCCCTTGCGGGAGGGCGTGTGGGGGCCTTTGGGGTCGGGGGTCTCTTACTCTCCCCCCCCCCGAACCAGGCCAGGCGTGAATTCCGGAGCCCAAAAGTATTTGGGTTGTGTATGAGGTGTAGGGGGAGATTCCTTTTGCACTTCATCCAACAAGGGGTTGGGGTACTCCCCCTCTTTCAGGTTTTGGGTAAAGGGGTGTCGGTGAAGTGATGGCTCTTCCCTCCCCCTCCCGCAGAAGGGATGGAAGCGGGTGGGAAAGAGAGGGAATCGGAGGAGAAAAGTCCGACAATGGTTTGGTCTTCATTGCAGGAGGAGAGAGAACTGGGTTAATCCGTGGTAGCCAAACATCAGGAGTCTCCCCTTTTCCCCATCCTCTTAACCCCCCCCCCCGCCATTTCACACACACAAAAAAAGGCTCTCACTTTCCCGAGCTGTCCAGGATCTTGTGCCCAACATCCCAGGAGTGTTTTTGTGTGTGCTTACAAAACTGGGTGCGCAAGATTCCCATAGACACGTTTTTTTGTGTATTTGTGGGAAAAGGTGCTGTCCGATTTGGGATGGCTTGATTTTCAGAAAGGAGAGGGATTCCTGCTAGCTGATATGGACTGACGGATTAGGAGTTGATTCAACTCCAGTTTAAGCTCTGGTATCTGGGAGTCAATCCATTCTTTCTCAGCCCAATTTATCTCTTGTTGGAGTATAAATTTAACACACACACTAATTTCTTCATCCACTGAGTCCCCGATAGAGATTCTGATGGCAGGTTTCATCAGAAAGATGAAGCTACAGTATAGTGTGGATAGGTAGGGGATAAGAGTAGTCTGTGAAGCCAAGAATTATGCTTTGTAAACATTAGGTGTATGAAGCCAAGCAACTAGAATATGAATGAAACCATGACTTAGTTTATTGGATAGGTCATATAAAAAAACATAGATACAGCAGCAAATGTAAATGCAAAGTTTTGTCCCAACATCTTCTCAAGAATGTTCTTGCAGGATCTAATAATTTAATAATAAGGATATCAATTTAATACAATATCAATAACAACCCCAAGGTTTGTTTGTTTATTTATTTCTTATAAAAGGAACAGTTTTCTGCAAAAAGAAGAAACTAGACCAAAATCTGACACCAACTTTCAGAGGATGACGAGGCAGTATTTGAAACATCTTGCCAGTTTATTTAATCTCACAGATTTCTGTGAGAATCTGGTTTGAAATGGCAGAACTAGCATTTAATGGCAGATTTAGTTCAGTTTGGTCCAAATTTAATTCAGACTGTTAATTTGTTTTCCACTCTTGGTGTAAACTAGTATTACACATCTTTAAAAGGCAGTGACCTCATCATTAATTACTGTTGGAATGCATTATGCTATGTAGGTCTTGTTTACTTGAATAGTGTGTTGACCTGTTGATACAGTGTCATAACCCTGGAAAATTGAGGAATATTTTTAATTAATTTGATGGAAATGTCTATGTTCCGCAAAATCTTAGTATTATATTTTGTTGGTCAGTATTTGAGGCAGGGATGAGAACATGGGCCTTATTCAAATGTTGGCTTTCAGCTCATAGCATCCATATGCTTAAGTTAACAATTTAAGAATCCAGCATATCATATTTATTTATTTATTTATTTATTTATTTATGAGACTTATATACTGCTTTAAGTGCAAGCACTCTCTAAGCGGTGTACACCAGTAAGCAATGTATATATATATATATTTACATTGCCCCCAACAATCTGGGTCCTCATTTTACCTACCCCGGAAAGATGGAAGGCTGAGTCAACCTTGAGCCGGTGAGATTTGAACCGCTGATTTTGAAATACATTGAGGTTTTCACCTGTTTTCCTAAATGGCTAGGTTTCATGCGGAAAGACACTTTAGTTCCCAATTTTTTATTTTTGCTATTAGGAATTCTTAAACGTTCTTTGGGGATTTAAACATCTGTATATCTAGGTTAAAATCTTCATATTTCCTTTATAGTGCATTCTTCAAATGATTTGTATTGAAGCATATAGTCTGCAAATTGCTTTATAATTTAGAGCAGATTAATATTGCAAATGAGTTTATATTATTTGGCAACCTTTTCCTGAATATATGTATATATAAATACATATATATTTGTTTTCTGAGGTTTTTGCAGGTGTTTGTATGTAGGTCTTTGGTTATTTGGGTTTTCTCCCGCGTAAAATTGGAAGTGTCTTGGTGATGTTTCGACAAAGTCCCATTCGTCATCTTCAGGCTGGTGTTTTCGGTTTCGTGCTTCTTGATCCTAGAAGCATGAAGCTGAAAACACCAGCCTGAAGGTGACAAATGGGACTTCGTTGAAACATCACCAAGACACTTTCAATTTTATGCGGGAGAAAACCCGAATAACCAAAGACATATATATATATATATATATATATATATATATATATATATATATGCATATATATGTACATATCCATATACAATATACATATACAATATACATATGTGTGTGTACACACACACACACACAACACTTTATAGATACTTGTTACCTCAGTGATGTGCTGCCCAAAACAGCATGTAAAATTCTTCAGGAAATATAGTAAGTTGTACCCAGGGCTCTTTTAGTACTTACAATTGTGTTTAGGGGCAGTTTACTTTCAGGGTACACACCCAGGATGTTTCTCCTTAGACTAATTTAATATCTCTGCATTTAGCTTCCTAGGAAGAGATGTGATAGGCTGTTTCTCTATCTCTGCCAAACTGTATTTGAACTGTAGCCAGCATCTGGTTAACCTTAGTTGAACTCAGAAAGTAAGAGGAGTTAGTACTGGAAGAGGAGTACAATTTAGAATAACAACTAATTACTTTAATACTACCAAGAAAACTGTACTGATATGTCATCTGGATTAAATTTATGGTTCACATTTTTACTCCTATAGTTATAAGGGGCTCCTGTCCCCCATTTTTTGTGCCCACTCCACCAGGTCTAGTAGGGAAGACATGCTGTGGATCCCTTCCATCAAACAATGACACCCACAGCCCTAATCCTGATGGCCCCAAGCATGTTAGTCTTTTGTAAAACTTGGAAGACCTGGCTGGCATTTGGACCAGGAGCCAGGCAAACTCTACTGGTGATGTATTTTTTTATTATTATTTGGCTCCTGCTGATTTAACCTTGGGTTCCATTGTTTGTATGTTTTTGTTTTTAGTCCTTGTACCCTTCTCCCCAAATCACTGTTGTGTGGTGGACGGTTATATAAATCATTTAAATGAACCTATTTTTTAAAAAATAGGGGTGCAATGGCTCGGTAGATGCTGGGCTTGTTGGCTGGAAAGTTCGACAAGGTTCGAGATCTGACCGCTGCTCGACAGAGTGAACTCCTGTTACTTGCCCCAGCTGCTGCTGTTCGAAAGCATGCAAATGTGAGAAGATGAATAGATACCATTTTGGTGGGACAGTAACGGCATTCCGTGTACCTCGCTGTATAGTCATGGTGGACACATGACCACGGAAGAGTCTTTGGACAACTCTGGCTCCCTCAGCTAAGAAACGGAGATAAACACACACACACACACACACACACACACACACAAAAGTCAGAAGAGACTGGACAGGGGAAACCCTTAGCCTTAGCCTATTTTAAAAATGTGAATTTATATAAAAGGAATATCTTATTAAAAATAGGCTAAATTGGATTGATTCCCTTATAAAAAGTTAAATGTTGGTTGCAAAATTGGGCACATTATAATCCAAAATAATGTAAGATGACAATCTACGATAACCACATAGCACTTCCACAGCAGTGTTCCAATATCTCAGGGGCTGCCACAAAGAAGAGGGAGTTAGGCTATTCTCCAAAGTACCTGAAGACGGGACAAGAAGCAACAGATGGAAACTAATCAAGGAGAGAAACAACTTAGAACTAAGGAGAAACTTCCTGACAGTTAGAACAATTAACCAGTGGAACAACCTGCCTCCAGAAGTGGTGAATGCTCCAACACTGGAAGTTTTTAAGAAGAGACTGGACAGCCATTTGTCCAAAATGGTATAGGGTTTCCTGCCTGAGCAGGGGGTTGGACTAGATGACCTCCAAGGCCCCTTCCAACTTTATTATTATTATTGTAATTTTCAGACAAATCTTTTGCTTTATATTCCCAGAGCAGGGGTAAAAGAAGCAGCTCTACTTTCTCAGGCACATTTTTCTGTCATCCTGTTCTCTGTTGCTGTTTTGTACACTTTGCGCCATCAACTTATGCTAGCTGGCCAAAGATAGAGCTAGCTAAGAGACAGAGGTAGATATTACGTAGATGTAACTGCTGTTTCAAGTACTGTTCTGGGAAAGTAAAAAGTTTACATCTGTTGCTTGCTAATATTTTTTGTTTCATTAATAGACAATAACTGGTTTTGTACAATGCTAAAATGGGAAGGGGTATTTGTGTCTTGGTGTGTTGTGTGTACCAGGCTATCATGATAGGCCATAATATTTAATAGTCGTAGTTTTATTTATAGTCATTGAAGAGTCAGATGTAGCATATACAAATTCAGCAGAAACAATATAAAAAAGTTAACTGCTAAATCAAAACTAAGATAGCAAAATGACTCAAGGGAAAAAGAAAAATTACATTAAACTGACAATGCGATATAAAGAAAGAAATTTGGGCATATGGGCTTTCACCCCTGAACCTCAAATGTGGGTGCCATAAAATGGTTCATTTGTATTTGTTTGGAATAGCATATTACATGGCCATAGCAGTTGTGTCTTGTTAGTTGACTTGAAGATTTAAATAGGTTGGTAAGAGATAAACCAATAATAAAATGTAGACCTCTGATCATTACTTATGAATAGGAAAAATGAAAAGAAATAACCTTTTACTAAATAAATGTGACACCTCAACCGGTCTCCTATCACTAGTGTATATTAAGAACTGTGACGAACATTTTTTTTAAAGGGCATAGATTTCTACACTTGCCTTCTTAAACCAGGGAAAAATGGGTTACCATAGATGAATATAGCTAAATGCTTGCTTCGTCATACGTATGCTTTTTATAGGAAAGTTTACCCACCAGATGATCATATTGAATGTCTTAATTGATGATATTGAGCGGGGGGGGGGGGCTGGACTAGAAGACATCCAATGTCCCTTTCAGCTCTGTTCTATTCTATTCTATTCTATTCTATTCTATTCTATTCTATTCTATTCTATTCTATTCTTATTTCCTATTCCTACTCTACTCTATACTCTACTCTACTCTACTCTACTCTACTCTACTCTACTCTACTCTATACTCTACTCTACTCTACTCTATTCTATTCTATTCTATTCTATTCTATTATTTCCAGTCAGGGTATACAATTAACAGTTGTTACTATGATGCCTTTCCACAATCACATTGTCTGGAGAATTGTGTTTATAGCTGGACTGCAAAGGTAGAACAATACGACTTCAGTTAAAGTGTAATCGTAAAAGTCATACAGGTTGTCCCCGATTTATGGTTGGTTGCTCAGTGACCGCTTGAAATTATGACAGACCTCGAAAAAGAGACTTGCAACCCAAATTTGAATTCAAAGTTCAAACACAATTTATGCTGTTTGTGCCAGAAACTGTCAAAAAAATACCCCATAGCCAATAGTGGGTTCACCCAACAACTGCGGTGTTTGCTTTATACAATGCTGCATTCACTTAATGATCACTGCAACTTATGACCAAAATTGCAGACTCATAAGTCGAGGACTACATAGGTATGTATCACTGTGGATGGTGCTGAATTTTGATACTGCTACTTTTTTTATTCTTCCATATTTAACCGTCAGTCAAAACTTTTTTCCCTTGCTCTCCTGAGTTCAGTTGATGTCTTGTTGGATTTCATATAAGAATAATTTAGAGGGAAATTAGGAGTGATATATTAGCTTTCTCATTAAGTTGTTGTGTCATATTCCCAAATCAATTAGCTTTCATATGCTAATGAATTACTTTGGATATGTGATCGTCAGGAGCATCCATGGGTATGCTTTAAAAAACAAATCAAACAAGTGGCACTTCAATCACACCATTGCAGCTGCCATCTTGACTTTTTTGGCCATATTTTGCAGACTCTCCTGGTAAATAACCTTAGAGTCTGTTATTGTCCTTTTTAAAGCCCTCCATTTTCTGGTGTCTTTGGCGGATATTGTGAAGGATGCTGCTTCTATCTTGAATAATCTGGATGAGCCCATAAATCACGTTATTGGTAATACACTTAGGGATGAGAAATAGCTCAGAGTATTTCACTGGGTTAATTCCACCGTGTAGTAAGCTTATTTGACTTGTGAGATGCCTGGAGCAGTGGTGAACAACATGGCTTGCAAGTAACTTTTTAACTTATCTGTGCAAAATTAAGAAATCAATATCCTAATCAGAATGTCTGCCTTACTTCTTCCACAACTGGTATTTATCATCTCTGGAGTTTTCCTTTGAGATACTGCCTCTTAGGGCAAAACAGATGTGAAGTTTTACTGCTCTTCTTTTCAAACTTTTTTTAGAACAAGTTGAAGTCATCGCAAAAAGATAAAGTTCGGCAGTTTATGATCTTCACACAATCTAGTGAAAAAACAGCAGTGAATTGTCTGTCCCAGAATGACTGGAAGCTAGATGTTGCAACAGATAATTTTTTTCAAAATCCTGAACTGTATATACGAGAAAACATTAAGGGATCACTGGATCGAAAGAAATTAGAGCAACTATATAATAGATACAAAGGTGAGTAAAAAAGTTTTTGGTTAACATTTTGAATGCTTGAACTTTGCTATAGTTGTTGGTTTCAGCGGAGGAAAACTGTGACTGGGAAGGATAGTTATTTAGCCCTTACATATTGCAACAAGGTTTATTTATTTACCTACCAATTTAAAGTAGTCCTTGACCCATTCTTCCCCTAAGGAGCTTGGAGGGAGGGCAGCAAACATATTTATCAAGTGTTAAATTATAGGTAGTTCTTGGCTTATGTTCATACCTGAGCCCAAAATTTCTGTTGCTAAGTGAAACAATTGTTAATGGGGTTGTGCCCCACTTTATGACTTTTCTTGCCACAGTTGTTAAGTGAATCACTTCAGTTAACAGGGTTCTTAAGTGAATCCGACTTCCCCATTGACTTTACTTGTCAGAAGGTTGCAAACGTTGACCCTGGGAGCAGTTCCCAAGCGTCCAAATTTTGATCACGTGACCATGGGGATGCTGCAACAGTCATACGTGTGAAAAACGGTCATAAGTCACTTTTTTCAGTGCTGTTACAACTTTGAATAGTCACTAAGCAAATGTTTGTAAGTCATAGACCACCTGTATTACCACACATGTGGAAAATATTTCATTCATTCATTTTATACAACAACCCTTCTCATGTACATGACTCTGGATGGGCTAAAGTTGGTGGGTAACTTCACCCAATGACCTACTTGATTGAGGGTGAGTTTGAGGGTGAGTTTGAGATTGAAAAGGGTTCCTACGTAGCTAGGTTCAGATAACTAAATTAGGGGTATACATCTCATGAGATACCAATAACTCCTAAGACTCAAAAATCACGTCTCTGAAGTTCAGCCAAAATAATAAACCTCCTGAAGCATATTCTCCCCTTCATTTTTTTCTTTGAGAAAAATAAGGATGGGAATGGGAGAGGAATTGCTCTCATTTTCACCCTTAACCCCCAACCCCAATCCCAAATTTCTAGAACAGTGGTTCTCAATCTTTTTAATGCCGTGACCCCCCAACCGGTTGTAAGTCGAGGACTACTCAACCGGTCGTAAGTCGAGGACTACTCAACCGGTCGTAAGTTGAGGACTACTCAACCGGTCGTAAGTCGAGGACTACTCAACTGGTGCAGCACCGTTTGCAGAATGGGACTTTTGGCGGGCTCAGCAGGGCAGAGACAGCCTGGACAATTCCTACTGGATTTTGAAAGCCAATAGAATTAGACTCTATTCAAGAGAGTCTATTCTATTGGCTTTCAAAAGCCAATAGAATAAAAGTGAGTAGCACAGCTAAGGAGAAGGGGAAAAAAATGGCGGACTGCGTTGTTTGGCGACCCCCGTGAAATGGTCGTTCGACCCCAAATGGGGTCCCGACCCACAGGTTGAGAACCACTGATTTAGAAAGATTAGTCTCAGACAATGCTTGCCTCTTCCACTTGTATCTCTGGAAGGCCACCTTTCCCTTGGTTAGGAAACTAGATTGAAGTTTCCTCTTTGAAGACATTGCTCATTTCTTTCTAGAAATTGTGGGGAGGAAAGGCTTTGATAAAGCATGCTGTCTGAATTCAACCATTTTGGGTTTATACAATAACCACAGTTTTAGCAGATTATAACTCTTTCCAATGTGTAAATATTGTAGCTGACTCGGAGCAAAAGATTGGGGACCTTCTAACATCAAAAGCCACGTTTGTTCTTATGTTTGATCCAGTTACCTGATCTTGCCCATATTTCTTCTGTGACTTTCCTGATAATTATTTGTCAAGCCATTGCTTTTTCTTCTATCCGGAGCCTCCTATTCTGAGCTGCCTCTTAACCTGGACTTGCAGGGAAATGGATTTTAAAAAAAAAAAGTCCTTCGTGAGAGTGAATTGCGATTTATTCTCTCTCCTTTGTGAAACCAGGGAACTGACCCATTTTAAATTGCAGTTGTGATTCCAGGCAAGAGACGGACTGAGAGACGCTTCTTACACATTTTAAATTGCAAAGAGGGCTGTTAAATGGCACCTGCCAGCAGTCAATGTCCCTTGAATCAGAAATTAGTTTCTCGGGCACATGGTTTGCTTTGAAGTCGCACCTACCAGTTCCATTCTTGCTGGAGTGCTTATTTCTAGGAATTTTTAAATATTCATTCATTTATTTATTTTCTCCTTTAAACCTTAAGATCCTCAAGATGAGAATAAAATTGGCATAGACGGCATACAGCAGTTTTGCGATGACTTGGCACTAGACCCTGCCAGCATTAGTGTCTTGATAATTGCCTGGAAGTTCAGAGCGGCGACGCAGTGTGAATTCTTAAGGATGGAATTTATGGACGGGATGACAGAACTTGGGTAAGTGCTGGGGCCCATCCTGTGATAATGCATGCAGAGCCCGTTGGGCTAAAGCGGCACTAAAACTCTGCCCATGGACTGTTTTATTTACAGAAAGACACTCTTAATTTCCTGCCAAACCAGTCTCTGGCCTAGTTGCGCATTGATTCTGGTGCATAACAAGGCTTATAAGCTCTGCACTTACAAGCTCTTTTGTGGCCTGGAGGTGTGTATATGTATGCATGTATATTTGGACTATTATATTGTCTTTTTTAATCATCAAGAGTAAGGAGCAAAGTGGCTTGAGTGGCTGGAACGGTGGGCAGGAGGTTAGCAAGCCCAAGTTTGAGACCCAAGAATTGCCATTGGGGTGGGGTGGAGCTCTCGTTCTTGACTCCAGCTCCTGCTGGGGACATAAAAGGAGCCCCCAACTGGGTGTCCCCAGGTCACCGGCGATGTCACCAGCTAATGCTAATCCTTTCAACCCAGGAGTCGTCTGATACGGTGATTCTGACAGAAGTGCAAAACGATTAAAGAAAAAATCAAGTGTTTTACAGCAATGTTTTCCAAACTTGGGCTTCTTTTAAGATGTGTGGACTTCAGCACCCAGAATTCCCCAACCAGCATAGGCTGGTGGGCTGGGGAATTCTGGGAGTTGAAATCCACACCTCTTCAAATGCCCATGCTTGAAAAACACAGAGTCACAGAGTAATGGCAGTGGTGTGGTGACAGAATTAAGAGGAACAACATTGTCAGTCTCTTTTTTTAAATTGTGTTTTTGAAGACTTGTGTTTAGCTTTCGTCTTTTAATTGTCGTAAGGATAGTAAGATCATTGAAAACATTTATTTTCACTATGCACAGTGGGAAATCATTGTATTTTTGTTGCATTGTCTGTTGGGCCATGGAGACTCTACTGCTTTTCCTCTGGAATATTCGTACCTGGAAGTGTAGAAGAAAATGCTCCTTACAGATATATTAGTACTAGAACTGCACTTGTGTATTTGTTTACTCCTTTGGCATGTGTGTCGATGCAAGGTGTGAGAAAACTGTGAAGCAACATAGATGATAGTGTTCCATATGGCAGTTTTTATACTCCCGATGTTTTCTGAAATGAATTATTTATTGGAAGGAGCAGGCAAATACACAGACTATCACATAATTGACTTTAATTTCTAAGAAATTCCTTTAAGATGTAACCTTTCCCTGGTATATATTTTTGTCTTGGTTGCCATATTCACTTATTTGAAAACAAATAAATTATTGGAGAGGACCTGAAAGGGAAGCTGTGATAATTCTTGCAGAATTGTTCTAAACCTCTGCTTCGTGTGGAAATTTCGTCCGTAAGTGATTTGCAAATGTATAGATTAAATTGGTATTGTAATAAAGCAAATGATAGAGAACTTCAGAGATCATCCATTCTAAAAGCAGCTATCGGTTGCCCTTGACTTGCAACCTTTTGTTTAACAACTGTTTGAAGTTACAATGATGTTGGAAAAAGTGACTTATGACCTGTTCTCACATTTATAATTGTTGTACTACCTCAAAGTCATGTGATAGCAATTTGGGAATTCGGCAACCAGCTCAGATTTATGACCAGTTGCAGCATCTTGCAGTCACACGATTGATTTGCTACCTTTTTTTTTTTGCCAATTTCCAGCAAAAAAGGGAGCCATGGTGGCACGGTGGTTAGAATGCAGTACTGCAAGCTAACTCTGGCCACAGCCTGCAGTTTGATCCTGACAGGTGCAAGGTTTTCTCGGCCTGCCATCCTTCCGAGGTCGGTAAAATGAGGACCCAGATTGTTGGGGGCAAAATGCTGACTCTGTAAGCTGCTTAGAGAGGGCTGTAAAGCACTGTGAAGCGGCATATAAGTCTAAGTGCTACTGCTCTTGCTGAAAACACCCACAGAGGACCAGGATTTGCTTCATGACCACATGATTCGCTTAATGGCCATGCGTTTCTCCTAATGACCCCAGTAAAAAATGGCATAAAGTTAGGTCCAACTTCACCTACAACTGCAACAACTTGTGACAGAAATTCCTGTCCCAATTGTGACCCTAAGTCAGGGGTAGGCAACCTTGGCTCTTTTATGAATCGTGGGCTTCAACTCCCAGAATTCCTGACCAGCCATGCTGAAGGGAAAGGGAGAGGTTTCCAAGCTGAGCCATGCTGGCTCAGGAATTCTGGGAGTTGAAGTCCAAGAGTCATAAAAGAGTCAAGGTTGCCTACCCCTGCCCTAAGTCAAAGACTACCTGTATATGGGATACGGAGAGCCCTCGACTTATAACCACAATTGAGTCCAACATTTCCATTGCTAAGCAAGGCAATTGTGAAATGACTTCTGCCCCAGTTTGCTCACTTTTTTTGGCCACGGTTGTTAAGCGAAGCATCGCAATTGTTAAGCGAATCGCGTAGACGTTAAGCGAATCTGACTTCCCCCACTGACTTTGCGCCCAAGCTTCGATCACGGGACCACGGGGGAGGCTGCTGCGATTCTAAGTGAGAAAAACCTGGTCAAAGTCACTTTTTTTCCCAGTGCCGTTGTGACTTCGAATGGTCACCAAACAAAAAGGTGGCAAGCCTACGACTGCCCGTGTCAGTACAGTTCGTAGAACAGTGTTTCTCAACCTTGGCAATTTTAAGGCATGTGGACTTCAACTCCCAGAATTCCACAGCCAGCAATGCTGGCTGTGGAATTCTGGGAGTTGAAGTCCACATGCCTTAAAATTGTCAAGGTTGAGAAACACTGTTGTAGAAGGATTTAAAAACACGCAGCATGATGTGCTGACTGGAGGAGGAGGAGGAGAAAAAAACAACCCCACCTTTTTATGTGTTGATACAGATGTGACAGCATAGAAAAACTAAAGGCCCAGCTTCCTAAAATGGAACAAGAATTGAAAGAGCCGGGAAGATTTAAAGACTTTTACCAGTTTACTTTCAACTTTGCAAAGAATCCAGGACAGAAAGGTTTAGGTATGTATGCCAGCGTTTCCTAGCTCAGGGAGGAATGACTCATCTCAGGCACCGGAAAACCGATTCCTCAGCAGTCACCGGGGCTGAACAGGATGATGGAAACTGCCTTTTCCTCTCCGGCGTGATGCCGATCGATTGAGACAAGCCCATTAAGGTCCCTCAGCAAAGTTTCAAAGGTGCCCTTCCCAAAAAAAGGCAACTGGGTTTTTCGGTTTCAGTTCACTTCAGAACTGAAGACGTTTCTTGGATGAGAAGTGAAACAAAACACACACAAAAAAACCAGTTGCCTTTTTTTGGGAAAAACACCTTTGGGACAACCATGATCTGGATGATTGAGAATCTCCATAGACCTTCCCTCAGCAAGTGTCATTTCACAAAGTTGTAGTTTGCCAGACACGAAGCCCTGCTGCCAAAGCTTTACAGTTGTTTAGTGGCGTTTCTAGCTTTTTCCTCCCTCCCCGAAGGGCTCTGTTGCTGATCAAGACAACAAGGCACCCCTGAAATTTTAGGGTAGGGTTAGAAGCAAACTCTGGTGACTGTGAAGAGCTCAGCAAGGGACACAAGGGAAAAGAGAAAACCCACTGCAAATGTTTGTTTCCTTTAGCCTAGTGCAGGGGTAGGCAACCTCGGCTCTTTTATGACTCGTGGACTTCAACTCCCAGAATTCCTGAGCCAGCCACGCTGAGGGGAAAGGGGGAGGTTTCCAAGCTGAGCCATGCTGGCTCAGGAATTCTGGGAGTTGAAGTCCACGAGTCATAAAAGACCCAAGGTTGCCTATCTCTGGCCTAGTGTCTAGTTGGGATAGTCTGAGAAGTCTTTGCTAGGGGTAAAGGTGGAAAAATCCTGAAATCCAGGAACATTTGAAGCATCCTTGTGCTACAGAATGTTTGTTTTACTTTGTTAATTAACTGTGCATTCCAGAAATGATTGTTCTGGATCATAATGCTTTAAAGAATAAATTATTTAATGTTACAGATTTAGAAATGGCCATTGCCTATTGGAACTTAGTACTTCATGGAAGATTTAAATTCCTAGACTTGTGGAACAGATTTTTATTGGTAAGTTCAAATATTAATTGTGTCTTAACAAATACATACATGTCGAGCGTGTGTGTGTGTGTGTGTGTGTGTGTGTGTGTGTGTGTGTGTGTGTGTGTGTGTATGGTATAATCAATACCATTATGAAACTGGGTCTAGATCAAGAATTTTTGCCTGTGAACATAATAGGTCAGATTGATGTTAGAGTGAACTGGCGGATTTTCTTGTCTCTACCGATAGTCCTTGATTTACAACAGGTGGCTTAGTGATCATTCAGTTACAACAGACTTTTCCAAAGCTACTTAACACCCAGATGTGAAGTTTTGACAGTCAGGCTTAAACCCTCCCCCCATAATCACCTGATCACATTTTGAACGCTTGGCATTCGGCCCACGTTTATAGCTGTTTGTAGCATCCTTCAGTCGTGTGGCCATAATATATGATGTCAAAATTTATGCAATCAAAACACCCATTGCTGGATTCACTTTATGACTGCCGCAAAAAAGATCGTGAACTCTGGAATGGTCATATGGAGACCCGCTTACTAATTGGCGTGTCTTACAACTGTAATTCCAGGCACAATTATGGTCATAAATTGAGGATTACCTGTATTTGTAAGGCACCAGAATTACTTGGTTGAGTTGGACGGCTATGGAAATGAATGAAGGGAGGGAGGGAGGGAGGGAGGAAGGAAGGAAGGAAGGAAGGAAGGAAGGAAGGAAGGAAGGAAGGAAAAAGAAAAATAGCAAAAGACAATGTTTAAAGTTTTAATTGCAGATTGATGACTGAGCAAAGGAATGTGTGAATTCTCAGTGGTTTTAAACACAGCCTGTCCTTGGCCTTGAAAGGGTTGTCTAGGAATTGCTGACCGGACCATTTCTGCTTTTGTGGATTCTGCATGAGCATCTACAGCCCATTAAATCTGGCGCAGAGCCTAGAGAAGGCACTCTATTTTAACTGAGCCTCCAGCCAGGGCCTCCTTTGATGGCCCTCCCCAAAGCAGAGCAAAGCCTTACTTCTGAGCACTGCCCGGGAGCTTCAGCACAGTAGCAGCCCCCTCACTGGAAGTGAAACAGTCTCTCTCAGTGCTTTGAAAGTGTGGAAGCTGAATGCCTTCCCAGTCCTACTTTACTCCATCAAGCGAATGAAGCTGCTCTGAGAAGCAAAGCTAGGTCGCCATGCAGAACCATGGTGCTCAGCAAATGATTAAAATACCATGATGCTGAGATCTGAGATACAGATCATTTCAGCCTGGCTGTCCCAAGAAATGTGAAGAGGGATTCTCCAGTCTTGGAACCACAACCTGTTAAGCATAGAGTCCTGTTGGAGGAATCAATAGATAAGTAACATCTTGAATTATGACGGTGGGATTTTTCTCTCAAATAGGAACATCATAAAAGATCTATACCGAAGGACACTTGGAACCTTCTTTTAGACTTCAGCGCAATGATAGCAGACGATATGTCAAATTACGACGAGGAAGGTAATGATGCCTCTTTTATTAAAAGTTTTACAAATTTAATACAATATAACCCAAACCCCTCCCACCCCTTCCCCCACTTCCCAGAGCTGATTACAGGGTAAAAAATAAACAAACATAATCTAACATTACCCGACTATACTATCAGTCGAATCCATAACACACTTTAATTCCTTTTCAAAACAAGGTTAACAAATTAAAAACAAAAATGATAATATAATTAAACCAAAATACTAAAAATAATATAAATTCAACCATATTGGACTATTAAAAATAATCTAAAATCTACTCATAAGCAAGATAATACTTTTAAAAACTAAAAATTAATCATAATCTAAATAATACTTTGTAATCCCATAACAAGTCTAATCATAATTTATCCATTAAATCCCATATTTACTCTCTATATAATTTATCCATCTTCTCCACGCCGAGGTGCATATTTCTTTTAAAAAATCATTCATCCACAATAAACACAAAATTTTCCCTCCAATATAACCCTACCAATAAATGTAATGATGCTTCTTGATGCTGTTGCAACTCTTTGTCCAAGCACATTTTTTTTAACCAACGTTCCCCGGTTTAAATTTTTTACCCCCTGCCTTTATTATTTTTAAAAATAGTTCAAGGTGGTGAACATACCTAATACTCTTTCTTTCTCCTGTTTTCCCCACAAAGACAGCCATGTGAGGTTGGTTGGGCTGGGAGAGAATGACTGACCCAAAGTCACCCAGCCAGTGTTCATGCCTAAGGTGGGACTAGAACTCAGGGTCTCCTGGTCATTGGCTCAAAGTCACTCAGCTGGCTTTCATGCCTAAGGTGGGACTAGAACTCATAGTCGCCTGGCTTCTAGCTGGTGCCTAAAGTGCGAGACCGAACTCTCTTCTGCATGTGCCACTGATGCTGCTCAAATGCAGTAGTTATTTTCTTCAACCCTTATCTACCATCTGATTTGTTCATCAGTTCTCAGAGGGGTTTTTTTTTTTTAATTATGAAGAACCCAGAGAGTAAACAAAGATCTGCTTGTCCAACATCTGAAAATAAGGCTGATTGGTCATTGCCATAGAGACCATGATCTTAATCCCAGAGAGCAGCCTTAAGCAAGCTACAGTATAAAACCTGGCTTTAAAATGAATGATGCTCACAGGCATTTCCCTGCTATGAGGTTTTTTCCCCTTATTTCAACAAAACCAGCTTGCCAAACCCGCTACTGCTGAGTCACTAATCCTGCCGTGTTTCCCTTCTGCAACTCACCAGGGCATTGACTGGGCAAATTTTAACAATCCGTCACACCTTTTCCTGTGTATGTTTTTTCTCTGATTGCTTGAAAGGCCTACTGACATATGTCGGTGTTGACTTAGGCTCTTTAAATCCTGGGAAGCGTGTTTATGGAAACCTACTTGGTACAGGAAAAAACCTAGAATTAGACTTAAAAGAGAAATTTAAAATTGTGTAATGGAATAAAAGGCAATACTGGATTTATGGATTGTTTTAAGGACTAAGATTCAGAGTTAGAAGCAACTAAATATATATATATATATATATAAATATAGGAGCGTGATTATTAGAGTAGATATTTCAAATAGATTAAGAATGTATTGGATTGTACCTATGTAGCGTTTGGGAAATATATGAAATTTATTGTTTACTGGAATTGCAAAAATGATGACTGCTTAGATTGGGATGCTTTTAATAAATTTATGGAATGTTTTAAATTACTAGGGTAGATTTCTTGTATGACAACAAAGACATGATAAGGCATGATAAGCTGGAGAAAATTTGAACTTTATTTAATGAATATGAATGAATCAAGGTTTAGTATTATTTTGTTATTTTAAAGATATGGATTGACTTTGGGATTACATATATATAGGGCTGATCAATATTTTATTGCTATTAAGATATCTGTTGTGTAGTGGAAGAAGAAATAAATGAGTTTGGTATAAAATGAGGAATCTGAGATTAAGAATTAGAGTTGATAATTTTTTGATTTAAATTTAAACTATTGTATTTGTAAACTAATAAAGTTATAACACAGGTTTAATAGTGATAGAAATTTAAAATAGAAATGGAATATTTAAATGTATTATGTTAACTGAGGGGAATAGAGAGGGGATAGTGAAATTTATTGAGTTGTGTTGTTTATATATATTTTCACTTTTGAATGTTTGACCACCTAACCATCATGGTGGGTCTTGAGTACTTTTTGTTTAAGAATGTTAAAAAACCAATAAAACGTCTTAAAATAAAAAAGGCCCTTTAAATCCTGTAACAATTTAGGGCCTGGTTCTTTGACGGTTCATGTCTCTTACAACTTACCTTTCTGGTTGTTTAGATCAGTGGGGTTTTTTTTTAAGTGGTTCTGGGACCCCTGGGGGTCACTCAAGACCCTCTCAGGCGCCCGTCAAATCAAAACTATTTGCTAGATGCCGAAGTTATTTGCAAAAATTTAAATTAGTGTCACCCTTATTATTGTTTGGGTTTACTATTGCCATTTCTACACGATTCAAGAAATAATTAGTGTGTGAGCGTGTCCATTTTAACTTTTCATATGGTAAATATTGATAGATACAACCTTCTTTATAGCTCCCAAGACCATGGAATACACTCCCCAGCCAAGGTTCATAGGTTCAAGTCCCACCTTAGCCATGAAAGCCAGCTGGGTGACTTTGGGCCAGACACCGTCTCTCAGCCCAAAGCACCTTCCAGGGTGATTGTTGTGGGGAAAATAGGAGAAAGGAGTATTTATGTGTGTTCACAGTCTTGAGTTATTTGTAAAGATAATAAAGGCAGGATACAAATAAATAAACTGTTAAATTGTCTCGATTTTGATTTTAATGCCTTACGTTTAAATCAGTGTTTCTCAACCTTGACAATTTTAAGGCATGTGGACTTCAACTCCCAATTCTGGGAGTTGAAGTCCACATGCCTTAAAATTGTCAAGGTTGAGAAACACTGGTTTAAATTGTATTTTGTTGTCAAAAGCCATCTTCAGGGCTTATGTATAGGAGAATAATCATCATCTGAAGAGATGGCATTTGTTGTTGTTTTCTTTTCTTTGTGAGAGAAAAGGGTAAACTAGTCTGGCTTGCCTCTTACGGAGTCATTGCCTACGCTTCCCTGGGGCTGATGGCAAACACGCTCTCTGGGAGCAGGCGCAAAGATGCCCAGGATGGGAAAGCCTGGTTTAGCTGAATTCTGAAATTCTTGGGCCAGAGTGAAAAGAAAACCAAGGAAAGCTTTGTTCAAGGAAGGAAAGAAAACGTGGGTGGATTTCAGTGGGAGAAAAAAACACACCGATCCTTTCATTTTATAAATGAAAGGTCGCTTGGACTGTGTTTAGCAGAGGCTTAATGGCTGTGTGGCCTCAAGTAGGAAGAGGAGAGCTCTTCTAAAGCCTGTTTCTTGAAGAGCTTCAGTAAGAAGGGTTTTCTTGGAAGAACTTTTGATGGAAATTAGGAAAAAAGTCTCTGAACTGCTTTATTGTGGAACACTAGGCCTTGTTTGTCAGTCCTAGAGGAGATCAACCCCGACTGCTCTTTAGAAGGCCAGATCCTGAAGTTGAAACTCAAGTACTTTGGCCACCTAATGAGAAGGAAGGACTCACTGGAGAAGAGCCTAATGCTGGGAAAGATGGAGGGCAATAGAAGAAGGGGACGACAGAGAATGAGGTAGCTGGATGGAGTCACTGAAGCAGTAGGCGTGAGCTTAAATGGACTCCACAAGATGGTAGAGGACAGGAAGGCCTGGAGGAACGTTGTCCATGGGGTTGCGATGGGTCGGACACGACTTCGCAACTAACAACAAACAACAAGGCCTTGTTTATGATATCCCTGCCAGCACGATGGAATACTGTTTAATATATCTGAAAAGCATTACAGGAAGTCCTTGATTTACAACCGTTCGTTTAGTGACCAAGTTGCAGCGGCACTGAAAAAAAGTCCCTGTGATGGTTTTTCACAGTTACGACCTTTGCAGCATCCCCATGGGTCACGTGATCAAAATTCGGATGCTTGGCAACTGGCCTGTATTTATGACGGATGCAGCGTCCCAGGGTCAGGTGATCCCCCTTTTGCAACTTTCTGACAAGCAAAAGTCAACGGGGAAGCCAGAGTCACTTAAGAACGGTGTTACTAATTTAATGACTGCTGGGACTCACTTAACAACTGTGGCAAGAAAGGTCATAAAATGGGGGCAAGACTCACTTAACAACTGTCTCACTTAGCAGCAGAAATTTTGGGCTCCGTTTTGGTCACAAGTTGAGGACTGCCTGTATAGGGGACACTATAAAAGAAGTAGCACAGAGGTTGCACTTCTGCGTTCATAGACACTTTTAATATAGTTCCTGGCGAGTGAAGTCTTTATCATTTGTCATCACGTCAAATCCTAATCCATTGATTTCTGGGTCAGTGTATACACACATTTCTTATCAGAAGGAGAACTTGACAGACTTGTATTTGTTGTTGCAATATATCACAAGAAACACCTGTCTATGCTTGACATAATGAGTGGATTTTGAGGCGGTCTTCCTCAGCTCCCTTCTATGATCTAAAACAGAGTTCCCCAAACTTTCTGGCTTTACACACACACACACACACACACACACACACACACACACGTCCATTTACGTGAGTGGCAGACATGTGCGCCCATCATTCGCGCGAGTGGAGATGTGCACGCTTGCCCGCCACTTCGGTGGCCCGGTTCTGAACAGCTCAAGGCCCTGTAGTTGGCCACAGCCCAGAGGTTGGGGACCCTTCCTCTGAAAGGGGGTGTGTGTGTGTGTGGGGGGAAAGCCACAGTCTTCCACTAAAATTTTGGGAAGATGTAATCCCTTGTCTTTTCCTGTTCTCTTTTCCCTAGGTGCCTGGCCTGTTCTTATCGACGACTTTGTGGAATTTGCACGACCTCAGATTGCTGGAATAAAAAGTACGACAGTGTAGTGCTAACTGAACCTTCTAACATTGTACCTAGTCTGTACAAATAAACATAATGGGGAAAAAAATTGCAGTCACTTTCTGCCAATGACTGAACTGGACCGAAGACCAACCCTCAAGAGATAAAAAGCTGAGGGTGGCTGCAAAAGTGTAAGGATATACCTTGGACCATATCAGACTACAGGTGGCTTGGGCCCCTCTCCCAGCCTGGGCTGCCCTTAACCCCTTGGAAACTCCAGCATTGTGGATATCATCTTTTTCCCTCCCCCCCTTTTTTTTATCGGAGCCTCCTAATGCTTTCCATAGATCTTTCATGTTTTTGGATGACTCTTTTTGACATTTCCGGTTCCACCTAAAGTACATTCTGTTTTTTTCACCAAGCAAACTCTTTGGTATTCCTGTTTCACAGTTCAGTCTCACAATCCACTTGTCCTATTTCTAAAATGCCGAAAGAGAAAGAGAGAGAGAGAGAGAGAAAGAGAAAAGTTATCTTCAGCTAACATATTTTGGCGCTATCTGCAAAGACTGTGCTGAGACTATCCCTAAAACAGTGTGTTTGGATCCATTTTTTTTTTTTGGGGGGGGAAATGGTCGATTTACAGCGGTTGTCAGTGTGAGTGGCAAGGGCTTGTTGTTGTGGTTTGCTTGTGTGCTTGAAAGCAGGTGTTGAAATGACCCAGCAAAAACTTGGATCGTTGTCCGTCTCTGGAACAGGCTTGCCGGCTGCATTGGTGCGAGATTCAGGGCCATTAAAACATAGGTTGGTTAATGACTTTGCAGTATCCTTGATGTCAGATGTATTGGGTGTCTCATGTCGACAGAGGAAGCTTCCTTTAGCATCCCGCTTCTGATGGGTGGCTTTGCTTGCTGATGAACACAACAGCCTTTTGCCACCTTGTTTCTGCACCATGTTGTGTGTGCAGCATCAAAAGAAGGAAGGATGATATTGAGTGTGCTTGTTTGCATCTGATCATCAATAGCTGTCCTGCTAACTTAACTGGGTCGCACTGTTTCTCAGGCAGATGTGGGCAGCTTCTTCTGGGAATTGGATCATTATCCCATATTCCCAAAGTGAGAGAAAGTGTCCCTATTTGATCACCTAACTGTTTATTTCTGTCTCTTCTATTTTTTGTTTTTATATGGAGTGGTTGAAATTGGAGTATTATTGAGCCTGGCTATTGCTAAGTTTCAATAGGCTTTACTCAGCAAGGACAGTGGGCACTCTAACGCAGGAATAAAATATTGCTCATCATTGCTCTTAGACTTACCCAGTTTTACTAGTCTTGAAATATCTCCAGTTACCCAGTCTTATTAGTCATTCATTAATTGCCCAGTTTTATTAGCCTCGAAATGCTCATTGTCTTCTCCTTCTTCCCCAGCCACTAAGTTCTACTGAATTGTTAAGACTTGAATGCAATACGCAACTTGTAATACTTGCTACATTTTATAAAATTCTTGATTTGGGCCCAGGAAAGTTTTTGAAAATAACAATGAATGTAATGCAGATTTATCTGAGGCTGAGTAGCATAAGCCAAACCCGCTGGAGCATGAATAGAACTACCACGAAGGTGGTGGGTTGACTTGGTTCTTGTTTTATAGCTGCAGTTCACTGTGATCATCATGCAGAGACATCAGTGCCCAGAACAAGCTTTTTCTGTGAGCCCATGCAAACCTCATCAGCCTGATGCCTGCAGGTATTTAGAATTTCAGATTTGACAGTGGGAGTAGATGGTTTGCAGGTCTGATAGCCTCCAGATGAGGGAAGGGTGTTAGATAGCAACTGCGTGAACAGTAACCCCCTCTCCTTTTCGCATTGACCATAGTGGGAGTAATTGTATGGAGTAATTGTTTAGTAACTGGAGTTCCTACTTATTGCTGGGCCTTCTCTGTTTGGTTATCCATCTTTAACATGCCACTCCAAATTGTATCGGAGGTAACCCACCCGAATAGGTTCAGCACTTTCAATGGAAGAAAGAGAATCCTTTTAATTTGATTCTGCCATTGTATGCAGTGGAGATTAGCTATGTGCTTTACCGTGGCTGGATCATAACTGAGACTAACGCAGATGTAATGTTTTTGGTGGTAAAGAAAAAAAAAACCCAAAATTGTCCTTTTGGGTACCAGCCAGGGGATGGGGCAGGTGACAATATGCATGATGCCCTAATCATATCAATGCTGCAGCTTGCACCAGACATGCATATAATTGTAGCATTGGCATGAAAGCATCATGACACACATATAATAATTTAGTGGTCACTGCAACTTGCTGCAGATACCATTAAGTGCCCCGGAAACGTATGTTGTTCCTTTCTCATCTACTTACATTGCTCTCTTCTCTTTTCCAGCATAAAGCACATTTAGCTTTAAATTTCAATGAAGGTGGACGCTAACAATAAGGTAGTTGAAAACTGGAACGTGTACTTTAGGTCAAGAGCTAGCTCAAGACTGCAGATTGCCATTACTGCAAAGTTCACAGTTTTGAAACACGCTGAAATGGAAAGAATTTACGCAGGCAAGAGAGATAGAGGGAAGTCCAGCATTTTCATGTTTTTCAATCATGATGAGAGATTGAAAATGCTACACCCACTGTGGTCCCACTATGTTTGGCTTGCCACTTTTTTTTTTTTTTTTTTTGGTCCAACAGGAGACATTTTTTTAACTTAACACTTGTGGTTTTATTCTTTGTGTTTTTATATGATAGCAGCACTTGAAATACCTCCTGGCTTTTTTAATCATTTAACACCACTTTGCTCTTTTCTGGAAAAAAAAAATAATCATTTGATAGAACAATATTGGAAACATGGATTTGAGGTATTTAAAACTCCTTTGTAATATTTAAGACCGAGAAGGGCCGGTTTGATGTAAGTTCATGATGTTTTCTTGCTAATGTCTCTTGTATCCATGACATTAGAATGCACTTTTATGCAGATGCTAAAATAATAGGAGGAAAAATCTTGCTTTTTTTTTTTTTTTTAAAGAAACAACTCTTGTCAGGATCCTATAGCCACTCCCTCAGTAACGTTTTGGAAAAGTTTAAGGAAACCATTGAATAAAATTGGAAATCTTTTAGCTGCTGGAATTGACAAAGTCAAGTATGTTATTTACTCTTTTATTGTTTCTTGTGTAAATATCAGCGAAGACTTGAATTATGAAAACTCTACAAAGTGTGCGTGTGCTGTTTTAAAATTTGGGTACAGCTTTCTCAGAATGAGTCATTGATGTATGCTATGTATTTTTTTTGTGTTCCAATGTTTTGTTTTTAATTTTAATGAGATGTACTGAATTCTATCCCTGTGCTGAAGATTAGGGCATAAATGCCATGCTGTTCTTGTTTTTTAAGATGATTCCTTTTGCAATGTTGAGGCCTTTTCAACAAAATGGAATTTGCCATCAGTTTGGTACTACACAATTTATAATTACTGTGTAATTATAAAACTGCATTACATAAAGCATTGCTGTCTTAAGTAGCAGAGAAACTGAGGTTGTTTGTGTGATAGCATTCTTGAATTTTAAAAAATGGTTTTAAATCCAGAGGCAAAAATTGGTCACCTGCTTTTCAGTGGGATGTGTATTGTTAAAGTGGTGCTAGGGTTTGACTGTGTTTAGTGGCAGAAATATTTGGCTTAATTATTTGTTTCTGAGTGTAAATGCCTGGCTCTAGCAAAGACTAAAAATGTTCAGACGTATCCCCATGTATGTGTGCATGCTTTTTTTTTTAAGTTTTAAAAATGTAAACTGAATTTCTACTTGGGTTGATTTAATTAATAAAAACAACCCATACGTGCATCCAACGGTAACTTGACCCTAAATCATTTTCCTTTTGCCAAATACTAGACAAGCAGTAAATGCTTAATCTTATCTACTTTTGGAGTTTTATTGTATGTAAGACTAGATCTTCTCAGCCATACAGATAATTTGGTAATTTTATTTCAGTCACGTGATCAACATTTTTTCTGTAATTTGAATTGTAATTACTGAGAAAAATACTTGCTGCAATCCAGAGTCAATAAAATACTAGCCCAGTTGTCATGGCAAACCTTCACATGAATTATGCCATTGGAGAAGAAGCAAAAATGACTTTGTTTCTTGATTTTTTTTTTTTTTTAAATCATGGTGAGAGGAATAAGAGAATATTGCAAATTAATATTGTGCTTGCCATAAAAATGTAGATTACGGTTGCACAAAGGAGGGTCTCTTGTTCCCAAACATGGTTTGAAGTTCCTAATTTGGGGGGGGGGGGGAGAAAAAAAATGGTACCTTGATGTTTTATTTGGTTGGTCCAAAGCTATGAATTGTGAACCTGCTAAATAAAGTAACTTATTTCTTGAAAACTACCCTGTGATACCCCTCTGAAGGACTTTTTATTTTAAAAAAAATAACTTTTAAGTTAAACACAATGAAGAACTGAACTGAAGAATTCTGGCCAAAACTGAAGAAGCTTCTTGGATGAGAAGCGAAACGTCTTTGAAGAAAAAAAAACAGGAGTCCAGTTGCCTTTTGGAAAGCACCTTTGGGTCTCAACTGAATATTGCTTGCAAATCATGTATGTCAGTTGCTAAGAGTTGTAGTTTTCAGATATCCACTGGCAAAAAAAAAAAAAAAAAAAAAGCCCTGTCAGCGAATTGCAGAATAAAGCAGGTATCTGTCATTGAAAAAAGAAAGTCTTACCTGCAACAGGTGATGGATTCTGAGACAGTGCCAAATCTGTTATTACAATAAAAAAGGAACAGGTGTTTCAGGTGCTATGAAATGTTCATCCTCAGGTATCTAAAAATGACCTTGAGTCTAGCCCAGTGCCTGGTGGTGGTGAGGCAGTTTTCTGGGCAGTGTCCTAGACATGTGCATTGCTTTTTTTTTTTTTTGTAACAGAGTCAACAGCCCAAGGATTGATGCCACCAATTAAAGCCAGGTGTCAAAATAATCTCCATCATTAAGAGGAACAACAGGCAATGACCTTTCTTTAATACTATGGCTGCATTCATAAAACCTGATTAACCAGTTCACTGAGTTTTATTTTGTGAGTTCAGGTAACACATTGGCTAGTTTATGACTCAAGGTTTGTGCTCCAGGTGAGGCAACTCTTTAAAAAGTGTAGCACATTCTGCAAATGTTATCTGCCAAATCTTCATCTGATCAGATTGTGTGTGTCTCTGTGTGTGTGTGTGGAGGGACAACGTAGTGAAGGCATTTACTCTGAGGCAAATACAAGAAAGAAACATTTCAAACCTCATGTCAAATTATTCTCATGTTATTCAAATGTGGGTTGAATTAGATTCAATGTTGGTAATTAGATGTTTTGAAGGCCAATGGAAGGAAAGTATGTGGAAGTAACATGCATTCAAATATGTAAAAGTTTGAAAATAAAACTGGATGAATTGAGGCTTGTGCTTTGTTCAAAAACTCTTGTTCCTTTCTGTAACACTGTCCATGCACTGCAATTCAACCTGCAATTCATCATCCCCGACCTGTTCAGAAATAAAGTCAAGGCAGTTAAAAGTCAAATATTTTATTCAATAAATATAATTTCCATAAAGTTTTGTATAACAACATATTGACCTAGCAGTACAGGAAGCTGCATTCGACTGTCTTGCCACAAAGCATCTTAACATGTTAGCGGGTGGCCACAGTGACTGATGTCCAGAATCCTTTGGACTACAGATTGCTCTGGCTTCCAGTTGCTCTGCTCTGTCCACTGCATATGACTGAAGCAACTCGGGATGACTTCTGTCCTCCCAATTGGAATATTCCGTGCCTTTCCAAAATTTAAGGCCAGTAAACCCCCATCATCCATCATACTTGTTTAAAACAGATCACCATTAAGGTTCATTCTTCACGAGCATAAGCGCAGAATCAGTCAAGCACATTTTAGGAAGCCATCTTTGGCATAGTGGGAATAACATTTCTTTTGCAATCTAAAATTCAAAAAATATAGCATTTTACAAAGGGGAGTGTACATCTCTCAATCTACTACTAAAATAAAACGAGACGGGTTTCTCCTAAACAATGGCCGTTCATTTGGAAAGTACAAAAATTATGTCGATTATGTTGGGTTTCTTTAAAACCGGACATTTGGCTCTAATCTCGTGATAGTTATTTCTTGCTGAAATCAATTCATTAATTGAAGCATAGTCCTTTATGTTCCGCTTCCCCCACAATTACGCATGATTATGTTTAATGGAAGCTACTCCCAGATTAAATACATATAGGACAACAAACTCAAGTGTGTTACAGTTTATAGAGGACAAAGCTTTAAAACATTTAAGCCCACTTCCAGAACCTCAGAATTTATCTCAAGAACCTCTAAAATACGGAACAAGACAGAAGACCAAATGTGCGAAGTAGCTGCATTCTCTACATTACTGCTAGCATTTTTTATTTAAATTGTGACAGCATCAACTTAGCCAGTAGCTTTTTCTAGCACTAGGATATACCTTTAATTCCATCCACCCCTAAGAACTAAAAGCAGCTTTAACAATTATACGTTCTACTTCGGCTGCTCTAGTAGATCTGTCCTAGGATGGCTGGTGATCTTTAGTAAGTGCTTAAGTTATGTTGAAGAAACTGCAATCTCCATATTGCAACAATGACAGTTTCGTTAGTAGTTTTACTACAATGACAATACATATTAAAAGAAACTGTCCTATATCAAATTTCAGTAGTCCTCAGTTAACAACTGTCCTGTTTTGCAACCAGTTATGACAGTGCTGAAAAACTGATTTTATAACCAGCCCTCCCACTTACAACTTTTTACAGCCTCTCTGATTCATACGGCAACTGCTGTGCATTTATGATCAGTGTCCTGCTGTCAGAAGATCCTTCGTGATCACCACAGCCAGCTTCCAACAAGCACAATGGACAAGCAAGGAGTGCAGTGAAGTCACTGGTCAGTCACACAATGACTCGTTTCGTGACCCTGGGCAATGACCGTGCCTCACTTAGAAATATAGTTGCCAATCCCAATTGTGGTTGTTGAGGACTACCTATATCACGGGTGTCAAACTCACCGTGTCACTTGACGTGTTGTGCTGTATTGCAACTTTTTTCACATTGCTGGAGCTGTGGGCGCGGCCTCCGCATGATGCAACCGGCCTGCAGCCTGGCAATTTTGACACTCCTGACCTTTATCATAACATTTCAGCCCTTGAATTCCTAAGTTTCAGCAGAGTCTACTTCAACAGTACCTGCTGATGCCGGTATTGGAGCAGTTTGTTTCGTCATGCAACATATAGTTTGGATCACTGACCTCATCCAACTGCAGGTCTAAATCTATTTGTAGACCAAGACCGAAGGCTCCCCTATTAAGTCAATGGCATACCATAGGAAGAATTCCGTAAAGCAGGACGGTTGCATGGCTTAGGACAGGGGTGTCCAACCTGGGCAACTTTAAGACTTGTGGACTTCAGCTCCCAGAATTCCCCATCCAGCATGGCTGGCTAGGGAATTCTGGGAGTTAAAGTCCTCAAGTCTTAAAACTTGCCAAGGTTGGACACTCCTGGCTTAGAGCATCAAGTACTCAGCCACAGTATGGTTACATCTATGTCTTGTTCGGCAAAACTAGCATGCTGCGGGTTAGCTTGAGGCATGCTCAAGATCGCTCGTAGACAGTTTATCTGTGCCTACACAAGACCAAACCAAGCAGTTCAACCAATCCATTTTTCAGATAGTAACCCATGTTATTTAGCTAATGTTAATCACTGAAAGACACAATTTTTAACAACCAAGAAAGCAATCTTTCCAATAACCCTTTGCACAAAATTGAACAAGAAATATAATACTTAAAAACAAAATGGAAGTGCAGGTAGTCCTCAACTTACAATTCATTTAGTGACCATTCAGAGTTACAACAGCACTGACAACAAGTGACTTATGACCATTTTTCATACTTAAACGACCTTTGAGGCATCCCCCTGGTCACGTGATCAAAATTTTGTGACTTCTGACAAGCGAAGTCAATGGGGCAGCCAGATTCATTTAACAACTGTGTTACTGACTTATCAATTGCAATGATTCATTTAACAACTGTGGCAAGAAAGGTTGTATAATGGGGCAAAGCTCACTTAGCAACATAAATCCTAGGCTTAATTGTGGTCGTAAGTCGAGGACTACCTGGCATGTATAAACAAATCTGCCCCGTCACATTTTTGTTAGAGGTTTAGTCTGCTTTTATTACTTTACAAGTAACTCAAGGCAGGGAACATACACAATACTCCTTCCGCCGTCTATTTTCTGTACATAGAAACCCAGTATTGGAACGACAAATTGTGACTGAACTTTGCAGTTTTACAGTGAAGTTTCTGATCACTTGTTAAAAACACAGACAATCCAGACATCATTTCCCAACAAATACTAATTCCTTTTATCCTGAGAAAAGTTCGAACTTAAAAAAGGGTAAATTTATGATTCTTTGGATCGCTGGGCAATGTTTAGCGATTTAAAATGCATCTTTCTCCCTGAGTGTGATTGATTTACTGAGTGAGTTTATACAAATTCAGCTGCACTTCCATCAACTTGCAAGCTAATCAAAATTCATAACAGCACACCCTTTCTTAATAGGACGTACTGGAATAAAATAATAGAATTCTAGAGTTGGAAGGGATCTCTAAGATCATTTAATTCAGGCCCTTATGCAGTGCAGGAACTGCTAAAGCCTTTCGGACAGATGATTGGCTGGCAGTTCTTACCATTAGGGAATTCCTGCACTGGAAATCTCCTTTACTGTAGTTTTAAGTTCACGTGGAAAAAAAAAATCAACCTGGCATCTATCTCACAGGTGGAAAGTTAGTACTTTTTAGTTGCAAAGACAATGGACTGAATTTGAGGAGGCATCTCTCTTTATAGGATCATCAAGAACCAAGTCCCTTAACTGAATGGTTTGTAACGTGGGTTTTGTGTTCCTGTGGTGGCTGAATGTGAATGTCAATCCTAGGTTATTTCTTTTCAACAGCCATATTGAGAGATGGTCGGTCAACTCTATTGTCAACTTGTGTGTCATATGATGCCATGCCTCACTGGGGGAATTAAACCTAGGCCAGGGGTAGGCAACTTTGGCTCTTTTATGACTCGTGGACTTCAACTCCTAGAATTCCTGAGCCAGCCATGCTGAGGGGACAGGGAGAGTAATAGTAATAGTAGTAAAGTTGGAAGGGACCTTGGAGGTCATCTAGTCCAACCCCCTGCTCAGGCAGGAAACCCTACACCATTTCAGACAAATGGCTGTCCAGTCTCTTCTTAAAAACTTCCAGTGTTGGAGCATTTACTGCTTCTGGAGGCAGGCTGTTCCACTGATTAATTGTTCTCACTGTCAGGAAGTTTCTCCTTAGTTCTAGGTTGCTTCTCTCCTTGATTAGTTTCCACCCGTTGCTTCTTGTCCTGCCTTCAGGTGCTTTGGAAAATAGCTTAATTCCCTCTTCTTTATGGCAGCCCCTGAGATATTGGAATACTGCTATCATGTCCCCCCTTGTCCTTCTCTTCGTTAAACTAGACATACCCAATTCTAGCAACCGTTCCTTATATGTTTTAGCCTCCAGTCCCCTAATCATCTTTGTTGCTCTTCTCTGTACTCTTTCTAGAGTCTCAACATCTTTTTTACATCGTGGTGACCAAAACTGGATGCAGTATTCCAAGTGTGGCCTTACCAAGGCATTGAAGAGTGGTATTAATACTTCACGTGATCTTGATTCTATCCCTCTGTTAATGCAGCCTAGCACTGTGTTGGCCTTTTTGGCAGCTGCAGCACACTGCTGGCTCATATTTAAGTGATTGTCTACTAGGACTCCGAGGTCCCTCTCACAGTTACTACTATTGAGCATGGTGCCACCTATGCTGTACTTGTGCATTTGATTTTTCTTGCCTAAATGTAGAACCTTGCTTTTTTCACCATTGAATTTCATTTTGTTAGTTAGTGCCCAGTGTTCAAGTCTTTCCAGATCCTTCTATATCTTAAGCCTGTCTTCTGGAATGTTGGCTATTCCTGCCAGCTTGGTGTCGCCTGCAAATTTGATGAGTTCCCCAGCTGAGCTGTGCTGGCTCAGGAATTCTGGGAGTTGAAGTCCACGAGTCATAAAAGAGCCAAAGTTGCCTATCCATGACCTAGACCATCCTGTGGCGGAAAGACAAACGGGACTTGCTTCATTTTCAATGAGCATAGAGAAGATGGCTTTCCAAACCACTTAGCTACTCATCCTGCAACTGATGTAGAAATTCCTGAAGCCAACACGGATCCAAAGCTCTTTTGGAGTCCTGTCATTTGAGCTCCTCCTGCCCCGAATCCTTTACCCTACCGTTGCGCTACGAGTGAGTTGTTCCACTCTGTTCATCAGGACCAAGACTGAACACGTCATCAGTGGCATCTTGATTTGGAACAGGGGACTCTGCAACTTAGTGGAAAGCAGTGGAGCCAAAATACTAAGAAGGTGTTACCAGAGCGGTAGCCTCATCTGGGAAGTTGAAAACTATTCCACAAAATGCAACAATCCATTTCAGTATAGCTGCCAAGAAAAATGACATGATCATGTCCGTCCGTGGAGTTATTGGTCTTGAGGGGGAAAAAAAAAATGCCTTTCTTTTCGTGTTCTGCAGACCCTCAAAAGACTTAATAGAATTGATCCCATCATCCCCCAAAATATAATGAAAAATCAGCCGGGTTCCTTCCTTTGGCTTAACTCATACTCTTGCTTAATCTGTTGTAACTCAATTTGACGTGAGTTTCCACGTTTGCTTTTTCTTTGTTCTTCAATGTATTTTGCCTAATCCTCAACCTAGAAGGAAACGTGAGTTACTATAACACGCAAACATTCAGAGAAAGAAATGACGAAACTTAATCGTGATCCGGTGTAAAATACATTTGCTTTCCTTCCATTTGACCCAACTTGCTGGTCACAGATCAAACAACAGGAGAAGGAAACAGGTCTTCACTCGGTTGTTACTTTTGCCCCTTAGTTAGAAACTGATACCAGGCTTGGACAGATGGAGTCTTAAACTCTTCCTGAATTTGTTTAAATGCATGCTTCTTCTGCACCCTTACACACACTGAGGAGGGACGAGAAAGAAATGGGAATTTAAAAAACAAAAACAAAAACACGGAAGTCAGTTCCAGTAAGAATTGTACATCTGTGGAGAAAAAGAATTAAATTCTAAACGTCATACAAAACCGAAGTGGAAATATTAATCGCATGATGACGTGGATTTAAATAAATGCTTGGAGTTTTGATAATTCTTTCAATTTTGGATTTTTCTCAAAATTATTATTTTGGGGGGGGGGGGAAGGAGAAGACAAACCAGAATGGAAAGGATGGATATGAGTGATCTGTGACAACGATGAAATGGTGCTCCTTTAAATGAGAACTTGGGGTAGAAAGGCAGGATAGAAATAAAACGAGTAAATGATATTTGGAATAAGGGGAGCACATTAAAGATGTTGGAATAAGCGCGGGCTGATTGCGAGGGGCCATTTCCCTGAAAAGCTTTGCTTTGTCTACTCCCTTGAAATGAATAGCATTCTGCCAGAAGGCTACTAACCTAGGGAACTTTAAGATGAGTGGACTTCAACTCCCAGAATTCTGGGAGTTGAAATCCACACATCTTAAAAGTTCTCTGGTTTGAAAACCACTGCCACACTGAATCAATCTCTTGGCTCGTAACGGGGGGGGGGGGGGAAATAATCAGCAAAATAAAAGGAACTGATATTCCTAAAAGCTATGCAAGTATATGGCCAATTCAGAGAGTTTAAACAAGTGGGCTTTCTGATAATTGCTTAATTTTGGAATCGGGGGCCCAGCCCAAATCTTGGAACGGGGAAGATGACCCTGTAATTGATCTGGAATGGACCCAGAGAGGCATTCTGAAATTTGCTGCTGGCAGAAAGAAAAAGAACCCCGCCCCCGATAATTTATGATGGGTTTTCTGCAGCCACAGAGGTGTGACTGGAGTAGCAAAAGCAAATGCCAAACTTTTTCAGCTCAACCCCCTCTCCCCCACACAGCTTATCGGGAAAATGTGGGAAGAGGATGTGGGGAGCTAATGCTTTCAATGATCCTTTTGTGGCATTTGGGTCCACCAACCTGTTTGAGATCAAGAATTCACAGACACAATTTCTTTATGCTAAGGCCATCATCTCGTTTCTTGTCCTGAACAGCATGCAGCTTCATGTGATATAAACTATGTACAAGCGCCACTGTGTATTTTTGCCGCCCCTGCAAAATCAGGGAGAATTCTTAAGTGCTCTCAACAAGAGTATAACATCTCTACATAAACAGATTTGGGGGGGGGGGCGGAGGGAAGAAGAAAAATAATGCCTCAAAAAGCATCCCTTCCCCCAGATTTAAATCAAAAATGTCCAGAAATAAAGCTAATTTATTTAACAGCTTCCTTTTCCCCCCCTGCAAATGAAAATAAATATATGTGTCCCAGGATAATGTTGCAGGATCCAATCTGAGTCGGTCACTGGGACCAAAGGTTTATTCTTCCAAGCTTTTGGGCTTGTGCTGGAGCTCATTCTCCCTCTCCGGAATATGCATTCCCACCCCCCTCAATGTTCAAAATCTTTCAGAATTAAGCTAAGACAATTTATGAAGGACGAGCTTTTTAGCTCATGGAGAAGAATTCCATTTCCCAGTTTTAATAATTAGTTGTGGATATTTGGGAGCCAAAGCAATCGCTTTTCTAAAGGGTTTTTAGCATTATTATTATTAATAATAATAACGTGACCATGGAAAATTAAAAGCATCCATCAAAACAATGCTAACGGTACAATTTTTCAACAGTATTTGTTGCAAATACCAGGCTTAAATCTTTTTCCCCCTCCTAATATATGAACTTGGCCATGACATTTAAAAAGGATGCCATAAGGGGCTGGTAGATTGGTTACAACCCAGTTGTCATATGGATTTCCACAAGGCATTGAGAAAAGTCTCAAGTAATGGATTCCATTGTGGATAACGTCAAGAAGCTTCGGTCGCTGGTACAGAAAGGTTCCGTAGAGCTCCATGATCTAAAGTAATAACAAGAAAGAAACGTTGCTGATGGGAAGCCCGAGTTTTGGTCCCATGCGTTTTCAGAAACATTTATCCAAAATGACCAAGATAAGATCTAAAGTTGGTGGCAAATTAGGCACAAAGATGCAGGAAACTCCCAGGACCATGATCAAAAATGTTAGGGTTGTATACGTTCTTGGGAACGTGTTATTGTTAGATCAGAGTTACGACTTGTTTTCATACAGTTACTCTAATCCAGAGTTCCGTATGCGTGAAGGTTTTATGTAAACACAGGCACGCTCTAAAGCAGAGGTGAGGAGCTATGGCCCCTTTATGACTTGTGGACTTCAATTCCCAGAATTCCCCAGCCAGCAAAGGCCACAGTCCCCCACCTCTGCTCTAAAGCTTTTCCCTCTCATAGAAGACAGGGCCAAACCATTGTATTCTAGGAGGTTTATGCCCCCAGACTGCTGATTATGCACATAAGCAGAGCTACGAAGGAACAGAAGGAATCCTATAATTAGCGTCCAACCCCCAAATGAGAGATAATAATAACAATGATGATGATAAAGTTGGAAGGGACCTTAGAGGTCATCTAGTCCAACCCCCTGCTCAGGCAGGAAACCCTATACCATTTCGGACAAATGGCTGTCCAGTCTCTTCTTAAAAACTTCCAGTGAATATTTACCCCAGCCGCCCAAAATCAGCTGAGCAAAACACTGCAAATGGATATGTTTAAATAACACAACGCTGAATTTGGAGCAATCAATGCAGGGACAGTTGGATGGAAGAGAAACGAAGAACAGAGTTGGATGATTTGGAGAAAACTGTGCACAATGAAAACAAGAAATGGAACTAAGGTTCTATTAAGCGATTTAATAGATGTTCATTCTGTTAAAGAGAATGTTAGGCACTGTATTGCTTTCCTTTATACTCCAAGCATTTAAGCACACAATTAGATGAAATGTGAGATCACTCGTCCAAATTATTCAATAGGTTTGATTTCATACTCTGATCCTCATATTTGACAGAATATTAAGTACGAAGAAGATATGGTTGGTAACGCAACTTTCCTTAAAGACTACAGAAATCAGTTTAGATTTGTAGACACTGGGAGACTGTACATCTGCCAATTGGATAGGAGACCTGGACTCTCCACCTGAGATGTATCTTAATGGGCTTCAGATGAGACCGATCCTCTCCCCAAAGTCAGAAGTGAAGGGCTGGCTAATGCAGCACAGATGATTTCCATCTGTTCCATCTATACTAATTATGTTACGATGGAACAAATAAAGAAGAGATGGCCTGCAGAATACATTTTATTTGGATCACTTCTGTAAAGTATTATGGATCATTGCTGTAAACCATTGTGCAAATGTTTTTAACTTATATCCAGGTCAGCTACTATTGCAAGGAAAGTGACTAATACGTTTTCCAAATCAAAATATAAGGCTAAGTCCACTTTGCATCTCTGCCTACTCATAAGGAAGGGTTACAAAGTGTGTGAAAATTTTGCACCTTGAAAATATGCCTTTCTTGGAATTGTGCTTAGGGAACTAAATACTGTCCAGATAATTCTGGGAAATGACTGTATTCTCCCAGATTGTCATTACTGTTAAATCCTTGATTTTAACGAATCAAGTTGTATACAAATAAGATCAATTGCTGCATTATGAAATACTCCAGTCTAGACCCCAGTGTCAAAGTGCCTGGAAGGCAGTACGGTTTTAAATCTTGTATTGCAAAATATAAATTAAAGACAATTTAGAAGTTTGTTCTAATTGGCAGAATTTCAAAGTACTCTTTTGGCAATCCGTCTTCCACATGTCAGCTGCAGATTAGATGAGTGAGTACTTCATCTTCTATCAAACATGAGAGTCAAATCATATCCTTGTGTGTGTCAAGATGATAAAACAGAGAAAAACATTTTGAAAAAAATCACAAGATGTATTTATTCAAAGTTGATTTCGAAGCTGGCAGTACCTACCTTTTGCAAGAACCATAGCTAGGACTTATGACCTTCTGTCTTAGTGACATTTTTACATTAAACTTACAATGTACAAGATAGCACAGACTTCTGAATATAACACTTGCTTCATTTCCAACGTAGCATCACATTGTACGACTAAAATGGGGCTAATGAGATAGGAGTAAACTCCTCCAAAATAATTTCAATTTCTGATCCAAGGCTGCATTCAGACATTAATTATTAAACCACTTTTGTGGATTTGTGCAATCCCTCATGCCATCATTGGTCATAGTCTGCACATCATGCTAAACCAGAGAAAAAGACTAGCCAAGGTTACACCAACTAAGCTTAGCATATAATGAAGATGAATCTGCTATGTTTTTGCCTGAATGGGCTACACCTGTTGCATACATACAACCCAACAGTGACTGCAAACATAACTCTCTCTCGTGGAAGAATGACGTGGATAACAATCATTTTAAAGGGTGGACATGAAAGAGCTTGATATGAAAATTCTGGTGCAATCAAGGTTGCTCTCCTTGACCATAGGGCTGAAGAGGGACTATCCACAGGGAGTGGTTAAAAAATCAAGACAGCAACCATGATGGTTTGATCAAGGCTCTGTTAACCTCTGGGTGGAAGTAATCCTGAAATTTGCAGAGGAATGAGTTCGAAGTACCTCTGCATGGTGAATTATAGAGACACACTGTATACCCTCCTGACGGGTAACCTTGACACTGACAAGACCTCATTCCATACACATTCCAATCATAAGTAGTGGCAGGCAGGCATTCTAATGGTAGAGAATATCCAAGAGGTGCAAAGATACCTTATCAGAAATCGTTACCCAGGGAGAGAAAAAAAGCTAATCTGAGATCAATCAGATACTGCTCCCGTTTTAAAAATGTCTAGGAAATATTTTATTTTATACACCTTGCCTTCTTTTCTTTACACAGAGAGACAGGTTACTATTTTATTTTTTTTAATCCGGCTTGTAACAGTTCCCATTTTATGAAGGAAAAATAATCGTTTGAGTAAAAAACTTAAAATGGAGCTCCACCAGGGATAAATAGACTTGAGGATATTATTTAAAAAAACAAAAATAAAACAAAACAAAACAAAAAAACAATAAGAGAAAGTAACATTCAGGAGAGCTGAGCACTGAAAATTACAATTTAGAAGTGACCATAGTTAAGTTTTCCAACATTTTTTTTTAAAGTAACCAGCTACTAATAAAAAAACTACTGCATCCTTAGATTAGGACTGCAAACATCCAGCTGACCAATAGATGGCAGCAAACAAACATAGAAAACTAATACTCTAGTCCAGAGGTAGGCAACCTTGGCTCTTTTATGACTAGTGGACTTCAACTCCCAGAATTCCTGAGCCAGCATAGCTGGCTCAGGAATTCTGGGAGTTGAAGTCCACAAGTCATAAAAAAACCAAGGTTGCCTACCTCTCTGCTCTAGTCTATGCCATCCAATGGTTGTCTGTCCTTTTTTGCCATAGAGACCTGATACCTGTACTACTAACTTGTGTGGGCCCTTTGCAAGCTCTCCAGATCTTTCTACTGATCTTTTGAAAGCCGTATCCTACTTTTCTTGCCATCCAAAGAGGACTGTAAGACACCCATGCCCTCTCTTTGTTCAAGTCTGTCTCGCCCAAACTGGGAATCTTAGCCTAATAGCTTGCTTGATCTCAACATATCTCCACTCAAACTGCTGTTTGATTGTGACCAAGGCTGAACAAAGTGCTCTCATTTGATGCTTGAGAAAGATGGCTAATATCAAGGAAAGTAGAAAACAATCTTAACCTGGCACTTAGACAAGCATATAAAAACATTGGGCAAAAGCTCCTGACCTTCTCGTTCTACAACATCTTTGTAGAGTTTTCACCTGTTCTTTCTAAGATGCAACAGATAGAACCTTCTGTAAATTAAGAAATGGTCCTCATTGATCTTCCTGGTGAGGATCTTTTCAAAATTTACAAAACAGACCTGTATAAATTAGCGAACATATAAATAGGTTTAGCATTTATTTCTGAATGGCAGAAATCATAATTTGGGGTGGCTTTAGATTATTATTATTTTTTACTCAGATGTGAGCTTTGTTTCACATTGTTAAAAATAATTGATTTTCGCACAGTCGATGAACGAGAATTTGAGGAGACCTGCCAAATTTTCCTTTTTTTTTTCCTGAAGTGAAAATTTCTGGGGAGAAAATGCAAACCTTGCAGAGCTAAAAGGAAACTTGGCTGCATGCCTAGAAGCGGAGACACAGGTTGATCAAACACAGGACAAGCCTTCTGATTTCAAAAGGCGAAGCAGCTAGATCAGTGTTTCTCAACCTTGACAATTTTAAGGCGTGTGGACTTCAACTCCCAGAATTCCACAGCCAGCATTGCTGGCTGTGGAATTCTGGGAGTTGAAGTCCACACGCCTTAAAATTGTCAAGGTTGAGAAACACTGAGCTAGATCATGGGAAGGGAAAAGAGGACAGTGGTCTGATTTTAAGAAAAGGACATAGAAGGGAAGGGGAGAAACTACACTGAAATGCGCAGATAAGTAGACAGGCAAAAACGATGCACACAGGGAGCTCAGAGCAAGAAAAAGCCTCCTTGGACACTTCTGAATCACTGGCCGGTGCTCAAAAAGAACAGGGAAATGGTCCCGAGACAGCTTATTACGCCAAAGCCACTAAAGGCACAACAGCAGTTGCAGGATCTGAGAAAAGACGGCATAATAATAATAAAAAAATTCAACCAGTTTTTCAACAACAACCAGTAACGCAACGATCTCTCATCCCCCCACATTAAAAGCACAAACTTGGATCTTCTCTAAGATCCCAAACTGAACCTAGGAAGATGGTTTCCTGTCTTGGACTGGACTAGACATCTATAGTTGTCGGTTCATCGTGTTCCAGTTTATAGGAGAACTGTCTGCAGCAAAGGCATTTCAGAGAAATTCCACACCTGGTGACTCGGGTGGGGCTGCATCGTCCCATTATTCGCTCCAGCATTCTTCTAAAAGATGTGCAGGCTGGTTCCCCATCGGAGAAGCAACACATGGACTCCAAGCAGTTGACACCTGGATCTGTCTTAGTAAGCTGTGTGGGGGGGGGGACAGGGAAACCAAGCAGGAGAGAAGTTAGCAAACCCTCACCGGATCTTTGTTTTTTTTTTGCTAGTATAGTTACAGACGTTTTAGAAGCAGAGATGCAGTTCTGATTTAGCTTGCATGCATCTTCTGTGTATTTCCCGTAAACGCTGGGAAGCTTAATTCTATAAAAAGTCTGAGAGTTATGATAGTAGTAACGATTCATTTGTCTATTTGACAACTGAAGGCCAGAAGATCTGAGAAGTAGGTTCCAGTCTACCAATCACTTGTCTCTCTACCACTAATTAACAAAACCAGCACTCAGGAATCTATTTGCAAAGTCTGGCTGACTTCAAGGGAAGTCAACGGACAGATATTCTGAGAGAAAAGAGACTGAAGTTGGATCATTCATAGCTGCTTGCCAATGTTTTCTACTTCCTGCACAGTAAATCAGATTCACTGAGAATACACTGATCCAAGCAATACTGTGGCTGCCCTTTCTCGGTGCCTATAGGCTATGTGGGCCTGGATGGAGAATAATAGGCTTCAGCTGCACCCTGGCAAGACGATGGCTGTGGGTGCAAGGGGCCTCAGGGTCCAGTTGTTTATCACCTTTAGTTCTGGATAGGGGTTGCACTAATCCAGGGTGTTCTCCTGGACTCACGACTCCTGCTCTGTGAGGCAGCTGTGGGTAGGAGGGCCTTTGTGTAACTTCATGTTATGCACCAATTTTGTCCTTATCTGGATTTGGCAGCCCTTTGCATGGTCACTCATACCTTAGTTACGTCTCGGTTTCATTACTGCAATGCACTCTACATGGGGCTACCCTTGAAGAATAGTCCAAAGCTATAGCTCGTGCAGAATTGATGGGTTAAGATGATCTTATCCCTGTGCCATCCATCTAATTCTTCTTAACTTTTTGCAGAATTTTGAAATTTTAATGTGCATAGTTTTTAACATGATCGCCAACGTCCGATAACGGATATGGCACAAGAAGAAGAAGTAGAACAGTTTTTAAATTTTAATTGCATTCTATTTATTTTTTATGTTCTGCCCAGAGTTACCCTATTGAGCAATGGGCGGCATATAAAATAAATAATTAAAAGAAAGTATCCAATATCCATTGTCTTATTTATGTTAATATGGTTAGCATAAATCAGTGGTTCTCAACCTGTGGGTCGGGACCCCATTTGGGGTCGAATGACCATTTCACGGGGGTTGCCAAACAAGGCTGTCTGCCATTTTTCCCCCTTTTCTTTGGCCACGCCCCTGGCACCTGGTGATGTATAAGTGGTTGGGGGTCACCACAACATGGGGAACGCGGCATTAGAAAGGTTGAGAACCACTGGCATAAATAATATAGTCTTAGATATTTTATTTTTATGTACAATGGCTGCAATTTGACATACATAGTTCAGAGTTCAGAATACAATTTGTGACCCTACTGCAGAGGTTCCCAACTTTTCTGGTTTGGGGGCCCGGAGGGAAAGGGAGGGGGAGGCACCTTTACGCGCGCATGTGAACAGGGCCGCAAGTGCAATGCTCACGGTGACATTAGCATGCACAACACTCACAGCAACACTCACAGCGACACTCGTGCATGCGTGTATCACAGCAACGCTATTGCGAGGGAGAGGCGAGTGCACCCACACACGTGCATGCACTGGCCAGCCACTCACGTGGCCCAGTGGTCAACAGGCCACAGCCCGGAAGTGAGCTGTGGCCCACAGGTTGGGGACCCCTGCTCTAACGTGCATGAAGACAAATGCAAAACCAGTTACACTTCTTTTTCTTTCTTTTTTTTTTTTTAAATAATAGATGCCTATTTTAGGAACCCCAGTTCTGAAATATATGCTTTGACTTAACATTTTTGCTAGGGCTACATTAGGGTCAAAAATACATCTCTGTGCTGAGAATGTTTCATGAGATGGTTTTAAGCAAATCAACTATGCCTGCACTGTTATTGGGAAAGGCGTGTGAAGCAGTTGAACAGTTATAAATGTAGCAAATGGTTTAAATATTCAAAGATTGAATACAGGTATGCCTTGACTTACAACAATGAATTTAGTGACCGTTTGAAGTTACAATGGCAGTGTGACTTATGACCAGCTTTCCACTTATGACCGTTGTAGTATTCCTGTGGTCACATGATCAAAATTCAGAAGCTCAGCAACTGACTCATATTTATGATGCTGCCATGTGTCCCAGGATCATGTGATCCCGTTGCGACCTTCTTACAAGAAAAATCAATGGGGACACACGATTCACTTAACAACCGAGTTACTAACTTAACAACCTTAGTGATTCACTTAACAACATAGCAAGAAAGGTCATAAAATGGGTCAAAACTCACTTAACAACCATCTTGCTTAGCAGCAGAAATTTTGGGCTTAATTGTGGTCCTAAGTTGAGGGCTACTTGTATTGCTATGGGATCAGAAGCAAGAAGGCGAGAATGATGGATTTATGTTCCAAATGCTGCACAATATATTTTTAATCATTTGATTATACTCATTCTATCATACACTGGATGAATAAATAATGAAACCAGCTTTTTCCCACCGGATGTTCTGAGACATCATCATTAAAACATAAACATCATTTTTTTAATGTCATGACACTCATGGAGATGCTAACATTCACAGCAGTGAGATTTTTTTGAGGCACTCCACTCAGTTGCTGGCCTGCCACTTTGCTGTGGTTGTAAAATGTGGGTTGAAATAAAGGTTTTTGCGAAGTTTTCATACCTTTTGCAATAAGAAAGGGAAAAAGCTGTACATACAATAATGTTTTATGAAAGAGTTCCCTGAGGTCTGAAAATTGTTTCAAGGATCCCTCTGTTAAAAAAAATACTGAGAAAGACTGAAAGAGAAGAGCAAATCCGTTCTTATTCACATAGCAAAAAATGATTTTTCAACATTTGTTTACAATTAGATTTATGAACAAATCTCTATTCATATCTATGTAGTAGTAATAGTAGTAGTAGTAGTAGTACTACTAGTAGTAGTGGTGTAGTAGTAGTAGTAACAACAACAACAATATCTCCACATCTCACTGGATGTGGCAGTGCCTGGAGACAGCAGAACAGACAAGAAAAAACTGGAGAAGATAACAAAATATAAAGACCTACAAATATAAATAGAAAGACTGTGGCAAAAACAAGCAAGGGTAGTACCAATAGTAATAGGCGCCTTGGGTGCAATCCCAAAACAACTGGAGCACCACTTGAACACCACTGGCATTGACAAAATTGCCATTAATCAATTGGAAAAGGGGGCCTTACTAGGAACAGCTTCCATTCTGCGACGATATCTGTAATACCATCAAACATCCACATCTGCCTATCCCAGGTCCTGGGTAAGGACTCAATAGGTTGACAAAATGCCAAATCCAGTCTGAACATCTGGCTGACTGTGCGATGATCAATAATAATAATAATAATAATAATAATAATAATAATAATAATAATAAATAATAATAATAGTTGGAAGGGACCTTGGAGATCATCTAGTCCAACCCCCTGCTCAGGTAGGAAACCCTATACCATTTCAGACAAATGGCTGTCCAGTCTCTTCTTAAAAACTTCCAGTGTTGGAGCATTCTAAGCTTCTGGAGGCAGGTTGTTCCACTGGTTAATTGTTCTAAGTGTCATGAAGTTTCTGCCTAGTTCTAGGTTACCCTCTTTGGTTAGTTTCCATCCATTGCTTCTCTCTCTCTCTCTCTCTTTCTTTTTATGACCCTTTTAATCCCTTGCTTCAGGTTGGGGTTGGAATGACTGAATGGAGCTGAGCATTTACTGGCCAAATGTCCTTCCTAACACCTATGTGGAGTTCACAGCAGATATTTTCTCTTTACGCCCTGATAGAGAAACATCTGCTTCTACCTAGGATTGAACTCTCAGCCTCCTGAGCGTGAGGTGAGCATCTTCACCTCTAGGCCACCGTGCCACTACCTTTTTTCTCTCTATTCATACCTAGTTTTTTCCCCTTCCACTATAAAATGGCCTACAGTATACCATCAAAGCTCGAAGAAAGTGGTGATTAAATACCATGACACCAGTTCTTAAAAAGAGTTGGGAATAATTTTCATCTTGCATAAAGTGGCCACAAGAAGCTCTAAAGAGAGAACAAAGCAAAGCAAAATAGATTATTTATCTGAGAGAAGAATCAATGTCATCAAGGAAAAACAAGGAAAAAAGCAGGACATTCAGCTGAAATTACAAAACGTTGCCTCATCATCAGAATGACTTAAAATTAATATGGAAACTCATTATTAGAAAAAATGGCACTGAGGATTGAAAAGTGAGAGGTTAGTGAGGCATTTAGGACTAAAAACAAGAGGCAGCAATTACTTACTGTACATAGTAAGTAATTTACTTACTAAATACCTTTTAAAATTAGTTTTAAAATCTATGCCAGAAATATCGTAACGCTGCTCAGAAACACTTGAAAAATTCCCTTTTCTCAAAGGAAAATATTTACTTGTTCCATTACAGTTTGAACTTAAGAGGTTTACTAACAATTAATTGCTCATTTGCTGTTGCAAATATTAGCAGAAGTGGCATAATTTGCCACCTGGTCAGAGCTGGAAAAATCCAGCTGGACTCACAGATATTGTAGAGGAATCAAAATTAAAAAAAGACAAGACGATGCTGGCTTTGAAATATTTACTTGCAGTTAACCATGAATGGAATTTGTGGAAAAGACAGATCCTGGTAAATCTGTAATTCTTTAAACTGCTGGACCCAATTACCCCCTTTCCCAGTTTCGAATAAAGTTATTATCCCTCCCTCCAAAAAACCCCAGGATTCTGTTCTTTTACAGGCGTCTTGGCAACAGGACATCCAAACGGGATCCCTGACTCACAAACAAGCAATTACAAATTGCTCTATTATATCCAATATGTGCCCAAGTCTCTCCCCCCTTGCACCCAATTTAACAGCCACAGTGATAGAAGAACAGATGAAGTGCTCTACTCAGTATCACATTATGTGAAAAAAAAAAACCCAAGG